TGCCTACACCCTCCACATCTACACTCCCATTCTTCACTTCAAAATCTTAGAGTTAGTTTTCTTTAATTTCATTGGTGACAGACATAATTTATATATAATTTACTAATTTACAATTTTTAGAGAACAAGATGTTCCAATTTAAGCCAATTGTTATTGGATGATAAACTTATGGCAATTGTAAACTTATGGCAATTGTGGACTCATTCGATTAATTTTTATAACTTATCAGAACCTGAATCAGAACAAAATAATCAAGTTATTAATATTTTTTTTTTTGTAAATTAATAATTGATCTTTATCATCGTTTCTTTAAACCATGACCAACATCCGAATCTTTCACACAGACATCACATTAACCAAGCTGATCAATATGACTTCCGCTATCGAAGTAATAAGATCGAGATATTAAGCTGAAAATTCAATTAGAGCAGAAATACAAGGTATTAAATCGAATACAATCATAGATAATTAACTATAATGATTATCTATGTAATACAAACATCGTAGGCCGATATGCGAGAGAATTCTATAATATCGGATGTATATTTAATTATGCAGAAGAAATTAATAAATAAGAGGTAAACGATAATTGCAAGAAAAATGAAATTTTAAAAAAATAAAATATAGACTACATGAATATAATATAGTATGAATTTAAAAAGTATTATCCCTTACACCGTCTTGCGAATTTTTTGTACAATATTGAGAGTTTAAATTCCGACGTTGGCTTAGATTTATATGATTGTGAATAATTTATTAGCAATCAATTTATGTTAAATATTAGCGATTAATACGCATTTCTTACGTAGCAATAAATTAAATAATTCTTTTAACGATAAATAATTTTGCAATAAATTAATAATTGATTTAATTTGTTCCTTGTACTATACGTTTATTATCGATAAATTAAAATATTTTTGTATTTGATTAACGCTACGTATTTACTGCGGATTAACCCGTATTATGATTAGCGTTAGTAATTACCAAAATCACAGGAGATTACTACAGTACGATTTGTTAAATTTGTTGATATGCTGTAACTCCAAAAAAAAACATTTAAATCAAAATTTTACTAAGAACAAAGGTTACTTTTATCACATAACCACTATTACAAAAATCTAATATAAGTTTTAATTAGAATATTATTCTTTTAGTAATTCGAAACGTATTATATCTTACGTTTTTTGAAAATGTTTAGGCCTAACCATCGTTGAATGACGTGTATAATTCATTCATTGTTCATCATTTGCTGTAGAGACAAAACATTTAAATAGATAAATTAATGTTTTTACGTTGTATAATAGAAATTAAAATATTAAATACACACATGAAATATCATTATGATCAGAAATTGAAAAATCGAGTGTAATAGAATCTAAAAAATTAAAGAGTAAAAAACTTTATCGATTAAAATTGAACATATTATACCATTTTGTTAATTCGTTATAGATATCAGATGCAGTTGGTCTATTAGAAGGATTAGCATCCATACACTAGTGCGCTAGCTGAATATAGCATTCAGGAGTGTCTTTAGCAAACGCAGGACGTAATCCGTTACATATTTGAATAGCTAACGTTTCATCACATTCAATATCGTAATGAGGAGGTCTTCCCGTAGACATCTCAGCCATAACAATACCAAAACTATAAATGTCTGCTGTTA